AATTCTTTCGTTCGTAATTACCATCGTGTTGTGTGTACTCGCGCGTCTATGTGTGTGCGCTGATGCGATCGGGATTTAACATCGTCCTCGCGCGAGGCACGACGAAAAGTGATGAAACGCGACAGCTTGCGCCGACTCGAGATAGAGAGATGTAGTCGATCTCGTCAGTCTCGAATGCGTTTTTTTGCGCGTGCACGCTCACGGGGTTTGTCAAGGAGTCAGCCAGTATTTGTAATAATAATGCTTGAGAAATGCATGAATATTTGTTTTATTAATGCTTCTTCTTATTTCATCTCTTTCTATGATAAAAAGAAAAATGAAACAGAACTTCCCGAGACTCGCTAATCCTTGTAATATTTATATTTATACATATATATATTATATATATACTTGTGTATTATTCGATATTGCGCCCATTATTGCTCACAATCTTAGCCTCGCTTCCTGCTTCCCTTGTTTTTAATCTCCTCTTATTCGGAATCTATTCGACTCAGTGCTTGTATCGTAACCACTTTCTCATTAACTTTTTATTTAAATTTTTATTATTATTTTTCTTTGATGTTATATCATATTGTTTGCGTACCGCTGCGATCGGTGCAGCGTCATGCCGATCGCAATTTCTTGCAGATCAATTTATTACATTAATTTATTACGTTTCTTCCTGCAGATATAGCTCCTTAAACGGGATGTCCCTTCACTCGTCGCGTGCCCTTGGCGAAATTCTTGCCGTCATTGTATCGTTGCTCGTCTGCGAATCATCACGAAATCAATTTTCCAACGATTCGCGACGTTTTTCTCACTCGCCGAGAGCACGCGAGTTACGCCAAGCACGCGAGTCCTCTTAAAGATCACGTAGATGTTAGCCGCTTTTACTATGGCGAACACCGTAAAAAGAGTGCCATATGACTCACGACTCGCTGTCTTCTTCTCGTCTTTTTTCTCCCAATCTTCACCTCCTACGTTTCCCATTTCCACACCCTCACGGCTTTTCTCGCGCTTTAGTTGCGATATTCTTGAGGCACGGAGGAGATGTATCCGATATATGTTAATATCTGTATCCTGAGCCCACATCGATTCCTAGTCTCTCCCGTTATTCTGTACAATCGCCACATCAAGCTCCGTTCCCCGGCAAAGATAGTTAATCGTCATCGAGAAGAAGGTCGGCGCTCTTATCGCGTTTTATCGTGCTCTCGCAAGTCGTATATTTCGAACGTGGAGTAAAAATAAATCCTGGAACGCGGTATAAGTTTTTCTGTTTACATCGGCTTCGATCGGTAATCATAAACGAATGAATTTTACGATACACGATTGTAATTAAATTCACGTTATCGTTGCATTGATGAAATCCGATATTATTTACGCTACGTTCGTAGTACACGGCTTCTGTATTTTCGGGAGACGATTTGGAATTTTGGATTGAAAAAATAGAATACGAGAATTGTTCAAAATAAAAGTTATTCCGATATTGATAATTAAAGCATGTGATATAACGGACTCGTTTCACTTATTGCGACCTTTTTCAATTATTCTGATATATTCCCACTTCATCATCCTGCGTTCCTTTCGCTTCCTTTCCAGCTTTCTTTGTTACTCATCGCTAAGCCTGCGTAAAATGTGCGTGTGTGCCTAATGAGCTCTTCCATAATGCTTGGCACAATAAGCCTCTTGTAAATATAAAATCTTGACGAAAAAGCTGAAGATCATAGCTCCAAAACGTAAATCGCTTGCATAATATTAATAAAATTTTATTTCAGAGGCAGTTTATTATCGCGATATTGGAGTCATTGATCTTCGCGGATCGTAACGATGCTACGCAACTGCGTGATAAGTTGAGAGGCAGTAAATGACATTTGTATCAACAATTGGTTTTTTTGTATAATTATATTTATTATAATTCACGGAGAGAAAGGAAAAAAGAAGGGAAAAAAAGGAGAGAGAAAAGAAAAAAAAAGAGAGGTAACGTTATAATAAATCCTGAAAATATTTTCATACAATGCTGCAGAAAGCAATAGTTATATATATAATAAAAAGTATATTATAGCTCTATATATATATAATAAAAAAGTAAAAATTTATCCTGTCAGTTACAGCCTCGTACTTTATCGCAGCAAAATGATTTTCGCTAGCTGCTTCTAGTCGCGCTTCGTTTGCCGCTTTCGCCACGTTCGGCGAGCAGAGCCATTTCGCAGCGAATCGCAATCGGCAAATAACGTGGGTTATCTTCTCTTTTACAACGTCGACATAATTTCGCTGCGATTACAAACGCGCGCCGTATGGCGAACCGATATCGATTGCGAACGATCGTATTCGGCCGCGATATTGCGGCTGGCAAATGGCCGATGCAATTTGACGATTTGACGAATGCAGTATACGACTGCATACGTATACGCGTATACATGTCGAGTAAGCAAATGCAATTACGCAAATACGTAAACGAAAGTTTATGGTTCTGCGCTCACGCATGGAGCAAATTAACCTGAAACTGCAATCCTATATTCGCGGCGATTCGATAGTTTGTTGCCGCTCTCTAATCTCCCGGATACAACGAACGATACGCGAATGCAAATGATGAATATACGCGCAAAAAGTATATTCAGAGCGTGATTGGTCTCTCCTACTATTAGTGGTCGAACGGCGGCGATCTAGTTACTGCTTGTTTTGTTTGTTACGCGTTAAAGCACTTTATATCGACAGATGCCGAGAGAAGCCGCGGTTTCCGGAAATTCTAGTAGTAGTTCTGCTGTACTGTAATACGAGTAAGTCACTTGCTGCGCTCCGTGGCTAATAAAAATTATATGTGCTTTTGTAATATAGCCATCTTCATGATCCTTACCAGATTATTCGCCATTTAATAATATAATCAATATATTGCTGTCTATCTTCTTCTGCGCTAAAGAATTTGAACGCAAGCGACGCTTCTTGCATACCCGCATACCTGCGCCGATATTAAAAACCAACATGCAGCACTCTTTAAAGTATCGCAGTAGCACTTTATTGTATTACATATGCAAGCTTTAGCTCTCCATCGTCATTCAACTGTATTTATATTCTTATAATATAGTTAATAAACTACTTTCTTATAGTGTTGGCACAGAATCACATACTTTATAGGATATACGGATTTTATGTGCTTACTTTAGCATTCTGTGTCTTTTTCCGTACGATATATACTTAGTTTAATAAGTAGCCCCCGATTTGCGTGCTAAGTGCATTCCCTGGAGACCAACGTGAAAATCAAATTCGCCAAAAAACACGAGGGTATTTAACACAGATAAGAGAATAATTAAATTTCTGGAAAGATTTGCGAAAAACAGGACGAATAATCTATCCAGATGTGATATTAATGAAATGTTTCAATTAAAAATTTTCATTACAGTAATTGACAGAGTTAAAAAAAAAACAGTAATTCGAGAAAAATTCGAATAAAATAAATTGCAACAAATTGTGAAAGAGTAATTTAATTAATAAGTTCGAAAAGATTTAACTTTCAGATTAATCTCTCTTGACTTTTATTTAATCAATATTATTATCTCGCGCCATGCTTAGCGCCGAGACACTACCGTGTCTCCAGATATCTCAAAAATTTAAATTCATTAGAAAATAAATGAGATAATCAGAGATTTTTTAAATTAAAATAAAAATTGGTCAGATTATAATTTTGCTCGTAGCGATTTTTATTCACAAACAGATTTAAAGTCGATTTTCTGGGAATGCATCGATCGCTCCAAATGGGAAGTCATCTGTATCTACTTGCCTGGTCAAACTGTCACCTCGACAAAACTCGATATAGACACTTACTAGCGCATGCGAACACGGTGTACTTGAAATGCAAAGCTTCATAGAGGAATGCACGAGAGCGTATTCGTTCGAAGGATTCGCTGTCCGTGGCTATCTTATATTCGCGGGGTCATGCCACGAGTTATATTAGACATGTATAGTTTAACATACTATGCAGTGCCGTATACATATATACCTCTTGATTCGTTTGCAGCGCAAGAAATAAATCGGCGTGCGCGTGCGACTTCTAACGACAGGCTCTGTACGAGATGAATGTGTGCCAGCCAAATACATATATGTATTTACACGTATATATACATACACACACGCCACTGGTGCATGTTGAAGCGCGATCGTTCATGGTATCTCTTTCAACTTTCTGTTTCATGCTTGCCTTCGCCTGGATACCCCACCGCACGCGTCTTTCAACCGAAAATTCACCATGTGCATACCGTTTTCACTGCCCCTGCCAATGCTTTGATCCCAACTCGACCGATGCAATCCCGATGTCCTGTGTGGCCCACGTCGATCCAATCCTCTAATTGATCTCCTGAAACATCCATGTGATCTATACGATGACTCCTGTCTGATCCCTGCCTCGCTCCGATCGAATTACACTCATGTGGCGATTGTGTGACAACTCTCCCGCTCGTACGTCGAAAATCTTAAAACGACAAAAAAATATTAAACCATCACATTATTAATTAATGACTTAAAAAACGTTATCTGTCCGTAAAATTATCCCGTGCATCTCACGATAAACGATAAATATGTAATAACAAAACGCGCACGCACGCATCGTCAATATTGTTGGTCGCACGTCACTTAAAATTTGATGCAAAATTGTCAATCTTTTTTTTTCGCGTTCGTTAACCAATCATACGAAACTATGGTGATGGGTTGTCGGTGCTTCTCTTCTTCCCCTTCTCTCTTTTTTTTTGTTTCTCACAATCACTGATCTCGTTTCGTTCGTTGGTGGCCACGCTGAATCGTTTGATAAATATTTGGCAAACGAATGAACGAAATAAAACGACATATACGGATTCACATCGTGCGACTCGCGGTGATAAAACAAAAAATAAACGATATGATAATATTGATGATATATATATATATACATATACATATATATATCCACGTGACGTATATACTCGCGGATGGGTGGCGGCGATCTGACACATGCGTTCTTGTTCTCCGCTTTATCACGTGCTTCGATTCGACTGGTTGATTGATTTTTCCCGATTTTGCCTCTATCTGACCGTGCATACGTCTATATGTAATCTCCTATTTTCGACATATATATATATATATACACATATATTACGTATTATTTATAATGAATATATATATAACGTTGGCTTGGTATGTGTGCACTGCCGCCGCATTATTTCGATGCCCGCCCATCAAATCTCGATGCCCCCGTGGACAAAATCGGAATTAATGTCTGTGCGGCACACCCTGGTACATGCATCCGTCGTTCATCGAATTTAAAATGTATATAATATTGCGCGCCCGAATACACACGTATGTTTCGCGCGCTTTAATACACGTGGCAACCAACGCGCCGAAATCTCCTCGTTTGCACGACCATGCGTGTAAACGAACTCGAAAAAAAAATAAATAAATAAATAAAACGACGGGCGCGACGACAAGCCGACGATTTACACTTTCGTTTTCCGTAATTTACGCTTTCATTTTTCTCGCGCTTTTTCACTCGTTACTCGCGTACCGGCGCGTTTATCGGGACGACGAACGGCTTGCGGCTGCAATTTAACCGACGACTCATCATGTTCCTTCGTGGAGTGCTTAATTAAAAAAAAATAATAATAATAACAATAACTCAAAATTAAATGAATGACACGCATAAAATATTTTTGGAACTGAACGATAAAACGAATTCGATCTCACTGTCGTACATGTACCTGGATGCTCCGAGGACACGCTCCACGCGTGTCTCCTTTGATCTGGTGCCTTCTCCACCGAATTCAACCGACTGTGGTAATGAATGACCACCAAAAAAACTACCGATACTTGAAAAAAATATACCGTACGAACACTGCCTCGTTTGCTGCATGTGGATCGCCTTAGCAGCCTTAGCCACTGTCGGGGCCCAAATGGTCCCCCAAAACGCTCACTGTGTCGTCTACACAGACAGCTGCGGACAGGTAGACTCATTATTGTAACCAGTTTTTTATCCGGTCTCGAATTTGCATCATTAGCGCCGATTCGGATAATCGGGTGAGAGAAGTTTTAGCGTGCATGCGTGTCGCCATGCTGATCCATCCGCTCGGCGTGCAATTCCCTGAAGATCGTAATAGTGAAGACGCAACCGTTTTCACTGATTCGAACTTCAGGAAATTCTTCCTCATTTACGCATTGTTCTGCATAACATTGCGCGAATGATGAATTTTGTACATGACGTTACAACGTTCGTCTCTTTTCATCTAGATCGATCCTGTGGGATCATCTTCGAATTTTAAAAATTGGATATTACGTGGCGCGCTGTGATGCAAGCTCGAACTTTAATTGCTGCTAACCTTCAAGGTTAACGAGGGAAAAGGATGTTATCGCGGATATCGCTCGATGAACGAACAACTTTTCTTTTACTTATGCACTGCTTAGGCAGCAGGAAACTTGACGTTTACACTTCTTAGTTCGAGGAGCGAAACGTTGTAATCCGCATCTCTCGGTAACCTTGGCTAACACGTAGCTTTCGGGGGCATCTCCCTCACGACTGCTCACCGCAACTATAACTGCGAATAACCACTGCCTTATCTGGTGTTTGTCTATTATTATTATACCAATAATTATTATTATGCTATTTCGAAAGCGTTGTCGTCACCTCTGTCCCCCTTGATCCGCCCCCCCACATATACATACAGACAGATATACACACTCATACATATAAACAACGTGCACACACGAACGAACCTATTCACGAAGAAAGAGATGCACGCTTCTTATACAGTAATTAGTATGATTAGTACTTTTGCCATTAAATGGTTTGCCATGTATCTATATATTATACATATACATATTATTATATATCTATCATGCCATTGTCTTGAACCGCTTGTCTGATTAACGTTGCGCGTTATTTGTGGATGAGGATATTGTCGGGATGTCTTTTAAACATTTCTTTGTATTCGTTACGACTGAATCTAATGCTACGTCTAAAAGCAATTTCCATCCTTGTACGCTTCAATATCTATTTGTTTTCTCTCGCAGTGCATCTTATCGCAAGTAGCAATTACGATATGGACAGCTGTTACGTGTCGGGCGTGTATACTGCATGCTCATTAATTATTATAAAACCTAAGGGAGCGCGTATATATCGAGAAACCAGAGGGCATATAATACATTCTGAGTCCTACACAAACTTGTCATCGATATGTGGAAATTATGAATTTTTTTGCTAATATTTCTTTTGTTGTTAAACACATTTTTTTCTAAATTGCTTTGCTAAATAGTTGGATAATTTTTATTTCAGAGATACTAAACATCTGTTTTTTAAAGATGTTAAAAGGACTTAAAAAATGTTAAGTTATAAATCTATTAAAAATTAAAATTTTATTCCCTAATAATTTTTTTTTTTCATTAACTAAGGATCGTGTCACTTTATATATATGTTCTGTAAATTATTTTATTACAGTATGAAATATATGATACAATAATTAAAATAATAATACTATAAAATAATTTATATTTATACATATTACATCTTTTTGTGTCAATAGATTTTTAAGAAAGTTTTGAAAAGTCCATACTTCAATTTTAACATCAAGCATTTTTATTGTTTTAGAGTAAAAATCGTCCAACTAAGGACCGGTTGTTCCGTATTCAGATAAAGTATGTTGAAATTTACATATTGGATAAACAAAAGAGTAAAAAGAGTAAGAGCATAAAAGAATAAGAAAGTAAGATAGTGAGCTAAAGTTTACCGAAAGGTGAAACAATCCAGTTTAAGCCAGTCACGTAAACAAGAGTCTTAGCAATTATGATTTTTTTTTCTTAAAAGGTATAGTTATATAAGATAACTCGTATCCTCTGGTTAGTATCGCATGCACCGCGTTGTTGATATACACACGAAATTCGTAATATTCTTCGCAATATCCGCGAATTCAAATGTGTCGCATGTGCACAAAAGTTCGCCGAATTTATAATTATTTGATGTATCAAAATATTCCGAATTTTGAAGAAATTGGCAGATTATTTCGTCGAAGCTGTCTGCATTTTCATTGGGCAATGACAATGGCGTGATTTACGACATATAGATTCAAAGGGCTGTGGAAGAGCTGACTTTTGCGACGGAACATTGACGGGACATTGACGTATAACACTACTCTTCCATTTAGGACGTTTACGAGTAACGCATTTGTGCTCTTGCCTTCCGAATTAGCATATAGCCGCGAAAAGTGATGTTATGCAAAAAGTTGAAACGAACTGATGTGAAGTGAATTCGTGTTTTAAAGGATGGACATGTCTGCCTTCGAAGATCGATCTTGACCGACTTGAAAGTTAAAATCTTTGTCATGACTTACAATTAGAACAAAAATACACGCAGCTTTCAGTTGAATCGCTCATTTCCGCTTACTTGGTCAAAGAACGTGTCTATTATGCTTGCACACTGATTGCTTTCGACGCAATTAACTTCCGACTGTAAGGCACAGAAAATAGTACACATGGGCATGGAATAAAGAAGCGCGTGCGAGCTTTACGTCTGACCGTTATTCGAACCAGTAATCATTTTCCATTATGACAAAGCTTTCCCTGCGCACGGAAAACTGATCGGACCTACCGATCGCTGCGCATCTATCGATAATAGTTTCTTACCCATATTTTTGGCTAGCTCTGTCGTTATGGTTGCGGAGTCGCAGTTGACATAGTGTGTTGAACTTATTTGCAGTAGAATATTATTAATTTGACGGCTTACGACATCCCACATCCATATTATACGATATTGCCGATAACCGCTGACTATCCAATCCCCCCCTTCTCGCCACTGCAGCCACTCTTGTCACTTTGGTTCGCTAGCGTGGATCACCCGGAGGACTGTTTTCTTCCGTAGCTTCAGTAGTGAGTGGATGTGTGTGTTTCGGTCCTGTAATTCACGCACGCGAACCAGATCGACGGTGAGCTGGCTTTTGGCAGCACATTAACGCTTGGGTGATGACACTGTATTATCATTGCTGATACACGACCGCGCTCGTCGTCATCGCTCCGTCGTCGTCACGAGACAGAGATTCGATCATTTAATCACACTTGGTATTTGGTCGACTTTTCGAGTAACACCGATGATCACCCAAGCAACGATCCCCCTTCTCCCGGGCCATTATTTGCATGACCAGACTCTGTGTTCGTAGCGAGTTATCTCTTATGCAATTGCAAGAATTGTTTATTATAATTATAATGGTTAATATTATGGTTAAACCCACTTATTACTAGCGTTATTATTACGATTATTATACTGTTGCCTATTAATGCTATTATGACTGTTATTATTCTTATTACTGTTATGTTTAAGATCTCTCTTTAACTTTTGTTAACTTCATTATTATTATCATGATTATTACAAGTACGCAGAATAATCTTTTTGTCGAGAATTATATGATGAAATAATTTATTAGCGTTACACACATTTTTCGTGATACATTTTCATATATTTTGCACGCTTCTATGGTGAGCCTATGGTATACTTTCGCGTGATTATACTTTATTTCTTTAATTATTTTTTTATAAATTTATTTTTTCGTATATCTGTCTGGTAGGTTGTTAATGCTTTGACCTAACGTTTTGCTAACACGAAAACCGTACTCTGGAATTTGATGTTTAATCTATTTGCTGCATTTGTCTCATATATATATATTTCGGATATACGAATAATTCTTCTAGATACGAGTGTACGTGTGTGTTTCCGTGTGTGTGTGTACATATAATATGCATACATCTTTTGCCAATGGGTAATAAAAGAAACGGATAGTAGCTGTAGCTGGGTGGAGTTTCCGCTTCCACTTGGGTCCACTTTATTCGTATTCTTTCGATGGCCAATGTTTTACGATTCGCATTTATGTCTTTCTCTCTTCCATATGTTATTTGTTAAATGTGGACTTATATTCATGCTCGCGAAAAATATATATTGCTCGCTTACGATTCAATATATGACTTCAATGCGGACTGTTTTCTTATCTCCGATGATATCTGGTGCGTTTTGGCGATATACGCAGTCACATGATATACATGCGTACATATTATATATATACATACACACATTTATATATGTAATTATCGTTTTTATCTTGCGCGAACCGGGTTTATATTACGTCGATGTCCAGCATCGTTTTCGACCGGAAACGAGAGTGACGGAGAGAGGAAAAAGAGCGAGGCGCAGAGAATTTCGAACATTTCTGCCAGATCTTTCCGTTGCTTTCGCGTATTTTGTTAATACTAAAATTTCAGTCTAGTCATTGTGTTGAATGGCCCGCCGAGAAGAGGGCTTCCAAACCTGATTCGCAAATTCTGTATAATGTTTACCAGCATAGGATACATACGTATTGCGAAGTAATTATGCATGAAATATATCATGATTTTCAAATTATAATAGATATTCGAACGTAACAATTACTATGCTGAATTTTAGTTGAAATCATAGTCTTTACGTATAATTTTTCCGGATTCTCGATGAAATTTGCGAATCAAATATCCTTGTTTCTAGGCGTGCTCCTTGCATACATTGTGTCCGGAATATCACGATTAGCATAACGAAAATGTCACACACACACATACACACACACACACACACACACACAACCGGCACGCGTTATAAACATAATACGACTTTCCTTGATTCTAGCCCAAGTTAAGCCAATTTTACAAATCCCGACAAACTGTAAATTCGGTAAAGTTAACACGATTAGCAAGACTCTGTTTTTTGCAGTCGATTAGAATTATTTTAATTTTACACCACAATATATACATACTAAAATAAGAAATGTCCTGTTTGAAAAAACAAAAGTTCTACTGCAAATTTATCACTTAATTCATATGTGCGAATGATCGGCGATTGTTTTTTTACTTTGTTTTTAATAAATCGATCACGACGCGAAAAGATATCGTTTGAGAAATTATTCATTTTAAATTAACCCGATCGCTTGATTATTCGCACATTGGTAGCACTTAATTAATATTCATATACAAACCGGTCTTCTAGAGCATGTAATGAACCATGAATATGCTCTAACATTGAAGAATCTGAAGTGTCTGGTTGTGCGGAAGATCTCGGTGATCGTAGGAATGCTTAGAAATGTACCAAGGCCCGATATTTTTAATTACTAAAAATACAGAAAACGTATATCAATATTCTAAGTTTAAAATAAGAAAAAGAAGAATAATGGATACTCTACGCGAACTGTTTTATGCTTCCTTACAGATCAATTAATACAATTTATTGATATTTAGTTTATCGACAATATTAATGAAGTACACACATACAATATTCGTTGAGAATTATCGAATCGGCACACTGATGTATATTCCTCATTTATCCAGTGATTAAGACTGCCTTGCATGTCTGGAACTAATTCTGTGATTAACGAGTATGAATAAATGTATAACGTTGTTGTAGCACTTTTCAAATTCATTTTGAGATGCTGGATCGTGAGATGAATTAAACTATCGGATACTGGTATTTTTGAGCAATCCTAAATAAGAAAGAGAGAATGCGAGAAAGAAAGAGAAAGAATGATATGTGAGATAAGATTACGCGTGTGTATGTATGAGAGTGATTCTTGCAAGAGCGCATGTGTGTGCGTGTATGTGATATACTATAAGTTCTTTTTTTTTCGTTTACTTTTCGCCGATCTCATCCGTTATAAGAGTATCTGGCACATTTTCTTTCAGTTACTGGACACCCTCCCGGTGTGCCAAGATTTTAATCGACAAGTGTGCAACCGTCCCGCCTGCAAGTTTATTCATCTCAGTGATGGTGAGTTATTCGTGCGTTATTGGAAAATACAAGTTGATTATGCACACTTAAATGGAAAACAAGTTATTATCAGTTTACGTCAGGAAGTGATGGAGACTATTATTAGGAGGAAATGTTCCATGTTCGGATCATAATTAATGTTGTAAGAAACATTAATTTTACAATAAAGGCATATCTTTTATTGTTACACGGAAGAACGATTTTACTAATGTATTTAAAAATTTGGCTATAATTACAGATCTAAAAATAATTTTGTTAGACCAAAATAATTATATAAAATGTTCAAGCTGATTGCTAGAATGTAAACATTTTTTACGACGTTACTCATCATGCTTGAGTTTTCAACATTATTATTTTGATGATTCCAACAAAATTATTTTTAGATCTATATATCTAGTTACTTTTGAATGTTTTAATATAAAATCGTTCTCTCTGCTTATATTTTAAGACATGTTTATGTTATCACATTTAATTATCTATATTTTTCTCAGGGACGTTTAATTAAAATTTGTTAATCTTTGATACTGAGCTGTAGATTGTGTTCATATTTTTACTTCTTTTAGTTTTTATGCATTTCACTGATTGAAAGATCTATATTAAAAAATTAAAATGCGAAATCATACGACTATGTTTACTGTTGAATACACAGTGAGAATATGAGCCAATATCTCGAAGAACATTTAATTCGTTCAATTGGCATTCATTGAGCGCTTTGGCGATTTTCAAATTTCTCTTTGGTCACACAGATGGATTTCAGTAACGAGATTTCCGGCAAAATCGGTAGTTTCGGTAAAGTAAGCGTATCTCGAGCGACGGCAGAAATTCGGCTATTGAAATTCCTGCGCGACGGAACTATTCCCCGCAAGCATCGGGCACCGGCGATTATGGCTTTTCGTTCACCGATCGATTCTCCGCGAACTTGTCAATTCTCTCTGCGTGCGAGACGCGTCGCAATTACGTACAATAAATCATTCGTGGTTTTATCGTTTGAAAGAGTCTGATTGTCGTTCCACGCTTTTATTTTACTTCCGTTCTGCGACGTCGTTGGTATTGATCGGTGCCTTCATTATTCTTCGTATTATTACAAGCCATCGTTACAGCATGTCTTGCTTTCACGTTTAGCGAATGATCTTTGCGAATGTAATGAGAATCTTCCCCTTTGTCAAGTTGCCGTGTCAATTAGATTCTATTCGCGATAATGAGCAAGTAATGTTACTCAAGATGTGAACGAGAAAGTGCTTCAGCTCGCCAAACAATTAGCGATACTTTTTGCACAATCAATTGCAAACAATATACATTTGAATAACGAGCGTATTTCTATCGCAGCAAATTTGCATCAATTCCTTTGATGTCGTTGAACGATTGAGAATATTTATGCATTGCACTCTATGAATATTGCAATCAATGTCAAGTTTTTTTGAAGTCTTTGGATATTAAATAGTTTGTACCGTTATACGAATCAAAAGAGGTGATTTTGTATGAAATAGCATCTTTTTGTGCTCATTGTATTTATGTTTAAATATGTTTAGATTTATGTAATATACTTTAAATAATAATTCTGTTTAATAATAATTAGAATAATTTTCATAATTTAAACGATAAAGCTTTTTTATTAGTTTCATTAATTTAACCTTCTCAACGGCAATAAGTTATTTGAATCTAAAACGAAAATTTTTGAATAATTGTACAATATGTACGATTGGTACTATGAAGTTCTAAATCATATATAGATAAAAAAATTTAAATTTTCTTGTTCAATTACTAAGGTTTGTAAAGGTTTCGTGCTTTATACATTTTGTATTTTAAACAGAATGATTTAAAATTCATAATTAAGTGTAGTTTTCATAGCTGTACTTAATTGGAGAATACACTTTAATTTTTACATTTGTAGTCCAAAAACTATTAATATTTCGATTTTGCACGAAAAGAACAATTTTGCTGAAGTATCTAAAAATTTAAATATTATAGATACAGATCTGAAAAATAATTTTGTTGGATTATCAAAATAATTATGTAAATAAAAATTCAAGTGTGATGAGCAACAATGCAAAAAGTTTTGACATAGTAACCAGCTTGAGTGTCGTAAATAATTATTATGGTAATCCAATAAAATTATTTTTAGATTGTATCTAACTAATGCTAAATTTTTAGATATAGCAAAACTGTTTTTTCATATGAAACATTATCTTTGACACTGTAATCTCTGCGCGAAAGAAACGAGTTGTTTGCAATACTGTCGATATGTTTACGATTACTAGTGATATGTGTGAATAATCGATTGATTTGATTTTGTAATGAATTTTCAGGAAACGTGGAGGTGATTGACAACCGTGTAACGGTGTGCAGGGACGCAGTGAAGGGCGCGTGCATGCGACCTCAGTGTAAATATTACCACATACCGGTCGCGTTGCCGCCGGCGCCTCTGATGGCGATCGCATCGTCTGCTTCGCCTTAGGGTTACTTTTGCCAGCGGCTAACGCTGGAACCGCACGAGGAAACGAGGAAGAAGACTCGATAAGCTTGCGCGAACACGCATCTCCGTACATGTCGAGATTATTGTGCATCGAGGCGGCATCAGTAGCGACAGCGACGAACAAAGCGTACGAGAAGAAATGGAGGCGCACCGAACATCGTCGTTCTTGTCGTCGATTCGATTTAGCTTCAATCAGCACGTCGATATTCCTCCGCGACATTCCTCTCCGATGTACACGATGCTTATGATGCACACGAATATGCGAACGCACGTTCAGGTGACAGGGGGGAAATAGCGCGCGGCAGGAAGAATAAGAGTAGGGAAACGTTGCCGAAGAGAGGTTTCTGTCGGCGTGAAGTCGGAACGGAAGAAGGAAGAAAACACATATAAGACCCGAAAGTTCTTGCACATGTAAGAGACGTTGTTGCCGAAAGAGAAGACTGAAACCGAGAAAGAATTCTGAGTGATTGGATCGTGGAAGTTGAAAGACCGAGCAATCCGGTGAATCGTTGCGTCGTTGTGAAGATTGTATCGTCGAGTGTATTCGTTACGATCGCAGCGAGCTAGTAAGCAAAGTCTTCCTTAATATCGTCTTTTTTTCTTTCGATTTATATTTGGCTTCCCATGCATCGTGTAAGGGTAAATAAACTCGAAACGTTCGGAATAACTCGTAAAACCGGAGCAGTATTTCAACTTTCACGATACTCTTTTTTTTTGTTAACTCGCTCGTGTGAGGCTGGGTTTTTCGGAACGAGTGTAAAGCATCGACGGGAAAACAATGACAACGTTTTGTCCCAGCGGGTAAACACGAAACTTGAATACATCGGGACCCATTCTTCTCGCGATCGAGCGAGTTAGCGAACAATGACCCGCGGTTCAGTATCGTTTAAGTTTCTATGACTTCTCATTGACGTGGCGAAGTCGCACCCGCTCCTTTCTCGGTCCTAATTAATAATCGATAAATAATAGTTTTTTCGAGGCCAGCAAAATATAGCTGAAGAAATAAATTTTATTTTCGATTCTGAAATCTTGCTTTTACGATATCGATATTTCGAGTGCAATCGTTTTTGTCCTATGATCGAAAAGCGAAAGAAACAAGAGAGTCATATATAAAATATTATATAAGACACTTGTCCTATGCAGCAGCTTGCAACATTACTGCAATGTTAGCAATGTTATTACAATATTGCTGGAACGTTGCAACGTTGCTGCAATATTGTTGGAATGTTCCGTGCTGTATAGGACCTTTCTTCATCTCTTTTTCATCATAGAAAAAATTATTGCATCATGTTTTAAAGATGTGATTGATATTTATAATAGATTATATTTTTTATGTTTGTGAGAACTTTACATTCTCTTATATCAACGATTTTCTTCCTTCTCCCGATTTCTGGCATGCACTCAGTGTCTTCTTTCGCCGTGACGTGTGATGCACGTTCGCGTAATGCAAGATATGCTCGTTAGAAAATCCGAAGAGAGTTCATCTCGAAATATTGTTCTATAAAGGCGTATTAATATTATACATATAATTATATTATATATTTATGCCAGATTCTGGCGTAAGAAAGAAATCGTAACCTTATCACACATAAGTAGATTAGCTAGGGGCCGCGAATCAACGCGATGAAACAAATGACCGAAGAACACTGATCTTGAAGAAGAAGAAGAAGAGAAACGTATATGATACAAAATATAACGACGATAAAATATCACCGAGATGATGAGAGAATTTACACGAGATATGATATAACGCGGCGGACGCATAACGAAGTTTTTTATACTCGTATATAACAAATCTCAATTATATTTTGTTTTTATGATAATAATGTAAACGCCTGTGTGTGTATATACGTACGAGGAGAGACATGTATATGTATATGTATGCATATGCGAGAAGGTATAACGATTTCGCTCGAAGAGGAGCATAATAGTTATCGGCGGATTGATTGGCGGCAATTAGATGAGCGGAGTGAAATAATGGTAGGTAATGGAACGTCGAAATTTCAGAAACTGCGAAGCGATCAATTCTCTCGCGCGAGAGGAATAGGAAGCCTTAACGAGGTTTACACCGGCTATTTGACTTTCGACCGTCTTACTTGATTCGCGAGAACCGAGCAAACGCCGAAAATCGCACATTCTATAGGCTGGTAAACACTAATTAATTAATACACTACGACAAATGTATATGACAAATTTATATGCATACGATAAGAAATTATATTTAATTAAAGGTAGACTCTCTTCAGAGAGAGAGAGAGAGAGGGGGAGTTGGGAGTATAACAAGAACGATCGCGAGAGGAGATATCGCGAGGTATTCTTGGTGCGAACGAAAGCTGCCGAGAGAGACGAGAGGAATCGTTTTATATATCTGCTCTTCGAGGCAAATGAAAAAAAAAAGAAACAATCGATCCGCTGGATCGCGTGTATAGGTTTACACGATCGATAGGGAATAAGTTTATACGTTGTTTCAGTCTTCGTAAATACGCGACCCTTCGTAATTACTTTAATTGTTGCGTTAATATCCTTTAAATCTAATAATTATTCATTTCCCGTGAAGGACCCCCCTCCATCGATCGAGTCTTTCGTCATTAAATGCATTCTTCATGATTACTCTTTTGTGCACGCTTAATTGCGTCTTCGAAGGTAACTCTCTACGATTACGCGTGCACTTTGCATATATACATATATATATATTCGCGTTTGCGAATCTCATTTCTTTCCACAGTTAAAAATTTAAACGATACATTCTCGCGTCCAGAAAAAAAAAACAAATATTCCGAACAATATTTTTTTACAAGGTATACATATATACGTCGAAAATATTAATGTTAAGGCACGCTTGCGGACCTAATTTCCTTGAAAATGTCTCGTGGACTGATTGCTCACTCGATAGAATTTGCTCTGGAGAGTCACTCTCAGAGTTTAATTTCCTAAAGTATGCCATCAGTCTAAGACTTTGAAAATTTCACTACATATGCTAACACTTACAAATACGTGGCAATGCTTGAAAGACATTTTACCGTCCAGGAGAGGCTTACACCAACTTTCCCGACCAACGACACGATATGATCTATCGAATATTCATACCGAAATATATTGCGAAATGAAAAATGCACTTTTGAACTAGTCATGATGATGGGACAGGATCCTTCACAACTTCCCTTTTTGTACTGTTAGATTATATTATATTCTTTTTTTTAAACTTAGTTAATGCATTAATCGTTTAATTGTTTAATCGATCACATTGATGATAGTATAATTATTTAAACGAAATTTAGGAATATAACAAAGTACTCTAACGACAAAATAAATATAAGCCTACGGATATAAAATAATAAATAAAAATAAAATTAAACGAGTGATTAAAGAGTTAAGCAAGTAAATGTTCCTGTACAGCATTTAAGAATCAAAGGACACTCTTATCAAAGCAAAAGGAAAAAACAGATTATACACCTTTGGTATTAGAAGGGAAAGATCCGAGGCTGGCGAATATAGTTGGAAGTTCAACTTTGTAAATTACTCGTGTACATAAAATAGTATTAATGCGTGAGAAATAACTCTCGAGGTTTTAGAGTAGACAGAATAAAAGTACTGAGGATTCTAGGAACGTCATCGGTTTTCAAATTTGTTCGTTAAACAAATCTATGGACGATCGGAAAGAACGTTTTAGACGCGTGTAACAGTAATCCGTTTTATAACTTACATGTACTCCTTTGCGACGAATCGTTCAAATTTTAATGTTAATCTTTCAAACGCGTTTTCTTCCTTTAATTAGTATACTTCTCTCTCGACACTGTGATTCTAGTCATGTGTTCGAAATCATTTAATAATATCTTCATCCCTTGATATTGTCGCTTCTTAATATTCATGATAATTCGTACGTTTGTAATTTTTTATTTACTTTTTCGTCTTTAAAGTGTCATTGAGTATGTGATAGATGGCTACAAACGTAACTCAAGAGGGATATTACATGTAAATTCATCGAAACAAATGGGGAAAGATATAGGAGCGAGTTCCTCCGTGCCCATACTTAGTATGTATATAGATTTAATTAGATACGCATAGGAAGAAAAAGAAAGAGATACATACGTTATATTATATAAAATTAAGTACAATAATCTATGAATGTCCATTTAAGTGATTCAATGACACCACGAAGAGGAGAGCGAAATATTTTCAATTGTGATTCCACTTAGAGTATACTCGATACTTTCTCTTAGAGACCCGGGGTCTGCACTCCTCGTCTTCGGGATATTTCTTCTTCTTTGGTATCGGTAAATTGCAATTAGATCCGTTTACTACGTCTTCGTACGGAGAGACACCAAGAGCAGGAACGATATTCAGATTCGTCCCACTCGCTGCCAGCCGCTCAGCCTGTTTAGACGAGCAAAGTCCTTCGAGAAGTTATCGATAACTCCTCCTTTCGTGTCGTCTCGCGATGGTACGGTTCGTTAAAGCTCAGGTATGCCCTGATCCCGACGCGCTCGAGAACGAGAGAAACGACCGGGATGCCTTCGGCTTATTTTCGAACGGATTTTTCTCTCTAATTGCTAAACGATGAATTAGTTTTAGGTAAACGAAACGGTCACATACAGACAACGCATCTAAGAGCGCGAAATTAACGTCGGACAGTACTACCCGTCTTTCCCTTTAATACCAAAATCTCTAGTAAATACACGATATATGAACGAATACTATAATTAATAATATAATTATGCGAACACAAAATGAGAAAAAAGAAACGACGGACAAAAAAACGAAAGAAGGATCGAAGCGCTACTCCGACTTACGGTCGCAAATACCACGAGAGCCATTCTAAAAAGCGATAACTAAAAACAATGAAAAGATAAAAAAGACAATGAAAACACGGTGAAAACGTTGTGACGAATCCACTGGAGTTTGAGCTTCCCAACTTGAGTCAAGGGTTTTAGCTGCTGCAGCAAGCAATCACAAAGCAAAACAATTATTTGTAATCAAGTAAAAAGTTCGCCCGCGCAAGTTTCCTGCCGTCGTGTTCGAGCGTCGTTTGGCGTCGATAAACTTCACGCGACTTTACATCTTCGAGAGGAAACCGACGGAAAACGCATTACCTCGCGCAACGGCATGGAATTCACGGCGGGAGATTTATGTACGCTGCCGCTTATGTATCTATATATGATAACAGAATGCTGCTTCGCATGGCCAACGATTGTCTGCTGGATCGCATGAGAAACGCGATTACTCGGAGATAAAGATTTGTCACACATTGTCTGGACGTTAATTCTTAATTGGAGTTCTGTACCGTTATAAAATTAAGTATGCAATACCATTTCTGCAGGCAACTAGTTGAGAATTAACGAAAATTATTGCGGTGTCGTTATGAAGCGTCGGGTAAGCTTTTCAAACCCGTATCTTTTTGCAATTTTTATTATTGCAAACAAAAAATAATAAATGCTCTGAAAGATTCTGTTCTCATGCGTTCTATCGTTCGTTGGCCGGATATGCTCGTGTGTACCTACCTAGCTTTTTGCGCGCTACGCATTTTTGACTCTGCTAGGAACAGGAAATGAAAATGGGAAGGAGGGCGAGAAAGAAAGAAGATTAGAGATTGGAGGGAGAGATAGAGAGGAAATAGAACGATGAAGTGCAAAACGTGTTTTTACTCTGCAGAGAAACCAGTCAGCGCACCGACTTATGATCGCGATAATCGCGATTATTCGAACGAAACGCGAACGTTTGTTAACGTTTAAGCGATTAATCCGCTTAATCGGATTGTCCATCGACGATTCTGTCAGCTGCATGCCTGAAATTACCTGCACGAAATCCTGACAAGACTTATGGAGATATTATTCGTAAATTCGATCGATTATCATGCAATATTTGGAAAAAGTATTTAAGGAGAACGAAATAATATCTTTTTTAAACATTTATTCCGACGTATGTTCTTCCAATATAATAAATATGATGTTTATAGAAGAAATCGAGGAAAACAAATTGATTTCTGTATACAAATATATTCTTTTTCTTTTTTGTCTGATAAAAGAGCGATATTTGAATAAATTGTTACAGTAAAGGAATATATTATATATAAAATAAAATATAAAATTTTTCTAAATATTTTATCTTTTGTATTAAACAATTAAACCAATGGTATAGAGAAAAATCGAGAAATGTGAAAAAGAAAAATAAGACAGGATTAATCGCTAGAGAGAGAGAGAGAGAGAGAGAGAGAAGAGAAGAGAAGAGAGATAGAGAATTTTAATATTGCGCAAATAAAATGTCGAATTTTCGTTCATTTAAAAAAAATTTAAAAATTTATTAAAAAATTTATTAATGGAAAATATTTAGTGTATCAATAAATATACAATAAATGCAAACAAGCAATAAAGCAATATCGACATTATAAGGTAAATGAAAAATATTTAGGACAAAATAATTAATAATAAAGGTAATATTAGTTGTATACTGTTTAAAAATTTTTTTTTTCATAGAAATTATAAAATTCCTTAAAATAAATAATTAATATGATATTATTTATATGTTGTATTTTCATTGTGAATTAACATAAATTTATATTAAAATGTATGATGAAAACTCCAAGGAAAAAATTTATTCTCTTATTTATATTTTGTTCTTTTTATTTTTTATCACAATTACATATTACATTTCATTCAGTGCATATTTTTTCAATTCTTATTTTAAGTAACTATGGCACAGCAATATTTAAGTGGAGGCGAGTAGTCTCCTTGTATATCATTTGATCATCACTTTAGTAATAATAATATAAGAATAAAGAGTGCTGTGAGATAATTGCGACAGTGCTACTGGATTTCTCTGCAGAAACGCTTTGACTTTGACGTGTAGGTTGTTTTTCTTGTTGGTACGTGACGATTCCTACAATAACAAGAAGTCATGTAAATTAAAAAAAACTTAGAAAAAGAGAGTGATATATTGAGAAAGAGAAAGTATATAGAAAGGACAGGAACGAGATGAATTTTATAGAATAAAGGAGATGTAATCGGATGTTATTTCACATACATATACCCACGTATATACGTGTATACGTGTTTACGTGCATGTGAAGACATCCTGAGATTGTGCAATCGCTCCCTCGATGCTGTACGCGATTCTTCAAGAGAGTTCCTTTTATTCAGAGTACATACTATTGCATATATGTATACGGACTTTTTTCCCCGAGTATGTGTGGGCGATTTTCCTCCAGCTGGCGTGTGTAGATCACGAACAGGAAAAAGAAAGGAAAAGGAAAGGAAAAACATATTTTGGTATGAAGAACAGCGGCGGGTGTCATCCCCAGTCGCACGGGTATCACGCAGCGATTTTTGAGGATTATCAACGACAACGAGGAATGCCCCGTAAGCGATTAACTTATATTTGCAAACGTAATGGGAGAAATTGTCTAGGTAAAAAGAAAACAAAAAAAAATAACATTTACGCGACTTTCTAGATAAAGAGCCTTGACATTAGTAGTTCGATGTTGATATTAACTTTTTGACTAAGCTAACGAAGACTATAATATTTTTGAATTAGGTTATTAACACCTAGTTGTACATTATAGCCCGCGATTTAGAACGAGTCTTATTGACGAACTAATTGCATGTCGATGTATCAGCATAAGCTTAATAGCTTTAGTAGATAGTAATTATCGTTGCTACGATCGCCCTTTTGCAGGTATTCACCCTGCGATTCTCTTCGTTCGCCGCGATGAGAGATTTCAAGAGCAGCCCGCGGACATTCTTGTGTGCCGCCGTTTCGTTACTTCTTCATTTCCGCTTTTCATGCTCTCCCTGCGGCTTCTCCCCTCTTGTTCCCTTAACCGCGAGCGAAAGAGAGTGCAAGAGAAATAGAGATAGAGAGTAGCGCTTGCGTTAGTAACGCTTAGCTCTGTAATATTGTACATGAACGTACTATATACAATGACTTTAGTATGAAGTAGAGTATTCAAGATGGAACACTAAACGAACAAAAGCGGAACGCTTCTTTCGAGCTCTCGCAACGAACTTACTTAGGAGGCACGCTCTCACGGAAAATACTCTATTTCGCTGGAGACAGACCTTGTAGCCGAAGACATCCTGCCTTGGAAATGTTCGTATGCACCTTCGGTCTGAAATCGAAAAAAAAAGCGTCTAAAGTATTCCCCGCCCCGCCCATCCCAATCACCTAGAATACTCCGTTTGTCCGACCACGTAAAGAGGTCTATTACTGGTTAACTTTAATACTAGTTCGTATAGAGAATACCTACATATTACTTACGGCTTGCGAGACAATTGTAATTGCATTTTAACCAACGATTTCGAAGTATAACGTATTAGAAGGTAGCACAAGAGTTCGTTTTGTCCGGATCGGCACTTAAATGATCCGAACTTCACCTCCCCATTATTATCTCCGAGTCGTCCATCTCCGTGTTGAAATCGATTAAAATCGAGCGTGTTTCTTCCCCGCTTGTGTGTAAGCTTTTGCGCCTCTTGCGAGATGCTTCTTAGACCCTCGGTCCCACGCGCGTAAACACGCACATAATACACATGCCACGTGTACTCACACATACACATGTATGCCGCAGTTACACAAATATATACTAATATACAGATATACAAATACATATACACGTACATGATATCCTAGATAATACGTTCTACCCCATCCATAAGTAGACACGTTTGCATATCCAAGAAGCCACGCTAAGGATAATTATATGTATGTATATAGAGGATTCTCCTGTGAATGTGCGCGCGTAGTTAGAATCGGCTCGCTTAACAGATGATACGTCGTCACCTATTGCTATTTGCTGCATTGACAATTTTCTTCCGTAACAGTTGCGTAATAGTTTCCGCTGTCGATTTAAAAGCGATTATAAAATAGCGTTTATTTAGTTTCAAGTCAGGTTTATATTATACATACAAAAATGAATATGTAAATATTTTAGTGGTCTGTAATTTTCTACGGTAATTTGTTGGAAAATAATTGAAGTTAATGGAATATGATACAAATGATTTAATCTAAAAGAATGTTGATTGAAAGATTAATTATAAAATCTATTTTATATATATTTAAAAAAATGAGCTTTAATGTTAAATTTTTTTAATCGACAGTGACAACTATTGTTGCTCGATTAATTTTTCGAGTGTTTTTCTTTGTTATGACGCTTTCTTTCCCGTCAAGCGTTTTCCCTAATATTGTGATGTGGGATATACTTTTGTTTGCAATATTAGTTTCCCGGTGCCTTTATTATCGAAAAGAAAAGTATGGTTCAATGTTACATTTACTTTACATCTTACGAAGATGGCTTGATCTCTGATCCCTATCCCTGCCGTCATGCCCCTCTGAACATAATAAACACGGTCGCCCCCCTTGACTACAAGTTTTTGAGAACAAAAGAAAAAATAAAAAAAATGAACAGTGAACAACGCGTAAAGACTAAATTGAAATGAATCCTATTGGGAATCTGTAAGATTAAAGAACAAAAAAAAGATTAAAAATCACATAATATTTAAGGTCATGAATTTATAAAGATATTTACACTCTAAGAATAAAGAGAATCTTCTGTGGCAGCATAATATACGGAAAATTACTAGTTCGACACTTAAACTAACCGTATGTTGGGGACGAGGACGAAGGATTTTCTGGATACGTAGACGCGAGGATAGTGTCCCGACGATCCTTCGGATAACTGCGTCTTCCGACAGTGATGTAACTATTAACACGTAATCTCTTAACGTTATATTTTTCCGGTGGTAGCTCTTGGGTTGATACTAAACGCTTCGTTTCCGGTACTGGTAACAGCGCGCGAGCGACATTAGAGGCGTTCATGACGACGATCGCTGCGTTTAGTGAAAATTTCAGAGCTGCATTAGCCATCGGCAGTTTGTGATATATTTAGTGAAACAAATTAAAAAATGGTTGTTATTCAAATTAAAAAAAAAAGAAAAGAAAGAGAGAGAAAGAGGAAGAGAGAAGAAAAGCGCCTAGCGGTTTTACATCCACATACTTACATACCAAAAGAATTTGGTATAACTGCGCACGCTGCTGAGAGCAATCCGATCTGTATAACTGAGACTAGATCTCATAGGGCATTCCGTGGTAGACGATGGAGCGGAAGGTTGCCTTTCAAAGATTTGTCATAGTCTCTGTAGTTTCAGAGAATGTTTGAGTCGAGTAATCAATTTATAGGAAGACAGTTTGAAGAATATCGCAGTGTCGATATTCTAACAGAGATGCAAAGTAATTTTTTGAACTTGAGAAAGCAATGAAATCTTTATTAAGAGTAATTTTTGAAAAAAAACTATATATTTAAATAAATCTATTTAGTAAGCGTTTTAGAGATATCCAATTTTAAAGTTTATTTACATTTTTCAATCTTCAAACTCCTTTTGCGAAATCAAAGGAACTCGAAGTGTCACTTTAAATCTGTGTTTCGCTTTTAAGATGACACTTTTAGTTTCACCAACGTTATTGATCGTGTTCATTGATTATAGAAACTGAAACTCGGGCAACTAAATGCTTCTTTGAAAAGGTAACAGGCACTATCAACCTACCAGAGAGTTTAATGTTTATTATTATACAAAAATTTCATAAACGTCAAGCCTTTCTATACTCATTACGATATATAATTTTTTATAACGGATTTAGCAACGCAGATTGAACCACCATCTTATACCATCTTACGTCGCCGGCTTCCTCTTAGTAGCGTCGACCGCCGTATATAACTAATTGTAAATTTTAGGTATTACCGCGCGTATAATAAGGAAAAAAAAGCGATAAGTGAGAATGAGACGAACTATCGTGGAGAAGAGGAGGAATAAGAAGATAAACAAAAATGATATAATACACATAACAACACACACACTATATATATATTGTAATATTATTTTTCGAACATAATATTGTAATGTAGAATATAATATATATATTATATAT